GACAATAATATCTATCTTTATCGATCAAGTTGTATATTCCATAGGTGATTGAAATTGAATCTCGAAATTAATTAAATTATTAAATAAAATCATGATTTGAATAAAAATGATGTCCATTTAACTCGAAGGGAAGAGACCTATCAGAGACCTTACCTGAACCAGATGAAATTTTTTCATTTAAACGAGAGGAAGGGAGTGTCACAGTCATGCTCGTCCAAGGCGTGTCGTCCATGGCCATATGCCCATGACAAGCCCAACCCTTTATGTCTTTTCATATTCTTGTTTCAAAAATATCATGTCTAGGCCTGTCAGACATGAAATGTTTATCGTAGAGGGATACAACTAGTTGTCAACTTCTCCCTACCCTAAGTTATATACTGTGAGTTGTTGTTATTTCTCTCTTGCTTGCTTATATAACGTTTTTTTTCAAAAATCTCTCTCTGTCCTCGTTTTTTAAAACCTTCTCTTAAAACCGAGGCTAGAGGTCGTAGGCGACGCAAGAACGAATTGGCTTAGCTCACTTGTCGTTGGAAAGTGAGTGCTGCACAATCACAAGTCCGCTACCATCAAAAGTGCGATTGTGATAGGGAGCAGGCAGAGATTTTTGTCATTTCATAAATAGGGTCAGGGACATAGATTATATTCCTGTCTCCGACCTTACCCAAATCCCCGAATTACCCCCAATCAATATGTATATTGAAATTTAAATTGTATACATGATGTTGTACAGTCTTTTTTCTTTTTCTTTTTTTCTTTTTTTCTTATGATATATTTTATATTTTTAATTACATTAAAAAAATATAAATTACCCATTAATTTTTAAAATAAATATATATAAAAAATTAAAAAGAAAACCATCTACAAGATTGAAATATAAAATTTTTAAAAATGGATCAAAATTAGAAAATATATAAAAAGGAATAGGTAAATTTATTACTTAGAAATTAATTTTATTATGTTTGAATAATTAATTTAAAAAACCTTTCTAAATACCAAATTCTTTGACTAAAAACAAATATCACAATTAATAATGCAATTAATCTTTATTTATTTATTTATTAAGTTGTAATTTAATTTGGTCACCTAACATTCTCCAGAAACAACGACAATTGAAAAAAAAGATAATAATAATAATGGATATATATATAGATATAAATAAATAAATAAATAAATAAATATATATATATATATATTAATTGTGGGAATGGAATATTGAGATGGCTTGCACTTGAGTTTTGCTTATTTCTTATTCCAACAACCACACAAACATTTATTTATTTATTTAATTTTATTTTTCCTTATTTTTTCACTCCCTTTAAAATATTCTTCAAATAAAAAAAAATTAATTAAAATTTTATATATATAAAAAAAATTGAGCGAGAATCTTATTTAAGTCGTTACCGACCATAAACAAGTTATTACTCTCAAAATATGTCATATTTATATTATCAGTCTCAACAATTAACTCGTTTTACTGAGTTGTGTCAATTCCCGAACAGTGCATTAGCGAGAGTCTTGAAAAACTTTACTCCAACGGATGAAAATTTTCACTCAGCCAAATACTGTTGAGCTTGTCATAATGGCTCGTGATAACTGATGAAGTTCCATAACTGTTTTTTCAAAACAACGTACTGAATGTGAATGTGGAAAGTGTGGAAAAACATCTCGTAATATATTTAATTAGAAAATCCTTCCGATTTGGTGGAGCTACAAGTTGCACTAACCACCCATATGTAGCATGAACTGTGATGACCATAATGCTTAACTATTGCTGATCCCGAAGACAATATGCCTCACATATACCAAAATTATGCATTAAAAATTTCATTTTAAAAAGTTTAATAGAAAATAACATTTGAATAAAACATAATTTAAAAAAAAATATTATTATCATATTTTAGGGTGAAAATTGTAATTTTGTTTTCAAATGTTTCTAAGAATAAAATAAAGTAAAATATATGACAACATTTTTAAAGGGTATTTTTAAATTACAATTCAAATATATATAAATGATTTTTTTTCTTTCTTAAAGTTAACAGGTATTTAGAATTATTTTTTAAAATTAATATCCTTAAATTTTTAAAAATATATTTTAAAAGTTTTTAAGGTATTTTTTTTTATTAATTTCATCTAAAATATGTTAAAAAAAAAAAGGAAGGGTAGGTGAATTCAAGTCAATACCTTAAAAACTTTACACATTTTTTCAATATATTTGACTTTGCGATCATTTATTTATTTATTTATTTATTTATTTATTTATTTGTCCCACTAAAAAAAGTATCCAACCATTTAGAAGCAAAGTGTTTGATAAAAAGGTAAAAAGGAAGTCCAAATTGAAATTAAAATTCAAAAGTATTTTTAAAATAAATTTAAAAGGTATTTTTTAAATTCTTAAAAAAAAAAAAAGGTATTTTTTAAACAAAATATTAACCACATCTATATTAATAGTAATAAATGTAATTTTTTATAATGAGATATATTTATATATTTTTTGGGATATTATTGAACATTTTAAAATATTTTTTTAGATAAAAGGTAGATATCTAGCAATAACCATTAATAAAAAAAAATAATGCAGAATATATTTTTTGATATTTTACAATTAATTTTTTTAAACGTTTTAAAATAATTTAATCAGATTTCTATTACAATCAAATAACTACGTACAGACCTATAAAATCTCATTCCAAGAATATCAAGAAATACATTCACAGAGTCTTTCTGAAATATTAATGGATTCTCTGGTCGCCCTCTCTTGCTCGTGGGAGTGAGATTCAGGCCTACTGATCAGCAGCTTCTTCAATATCTACACTTGAAGATTCATGGCCAACCATATTTCAAAGGTGCAGTCTTGGACTGTGATCTTTATGGAGAAATGGAGCCATAGGAAATCTGGCTACGTTTTGGAGGCACGAACGACAAAGATCTCGATTTCTTCACCAAACTCAAGAGGTCGACTAATAACTCTGGATGTTTGTCAGCGCATATCAACCGTAAGGTCGGCTTGGCCAACGGTACATGGAGTGGCGAGAACTCGGCCAGTCCAATTTTTGCTGCCAAAACCGATAAAACAATAATCGGCTATCACAAGCGCTTTAGGTTCGTTCCGTCATTTTGATTTCAATTTTTGTTAGAATCTTTAACCTTATGTTTGTGTCCTTGGAACATGTAAGTCATTGAATACATTTTAGGTACGAGAATGTCCAATTGCCCGAGCATCATGGCGAATGGATTATGCATGTAATAGCTTGCATCAAGATTCGATACAACAAGCTGTAGATTCAGATTATGTTTTATGCCGATTCAAAAAAAATGAAAGACTTAAAAGAAAATTACAGAAAAAATGACGACATCTAAATTATTTCATAATGGAAATCATGCAATAAGAGATGGTACAACCTATACCGTAATAACATTTAAGATGATTTAAGCAATTTTAGTGATGTTTCCTGTGACTTATAAATATTTAAATTTAATTTTATGAAATTTTAGTTATTTATTTAATATTATGTAATATTTAGGATCGATATAATTCTAAAATTTCTAAATGATTAAATATTTATTTTACTCTTAATTATTATTATAAATTTTGAATATTAAATATTTTACAATATTATATAATTTATAATATAATACGTGTTTTAATTTTAATAAATTTACGCATATTCCGCCGATGATCATTACTTTTCTAAGTTTAGGAAATTACATTTTATATATTAAATATAAAAAAAAAAATATATCTCATTATTTGTGAAGTCTGACCTAGTGTCACAGTCATGTTTGTTCAAGGTGTGTTGCTCATGGCCGCATACTCGTTACATGCTAAAACTCTTACCTTGTATAACTTTATCGCTTTCCTTTTACTGCTTTCATGAGGTATAATTTCCTTATTGTATTTTCCAAGTGTATGACGTTTCGGCAGGGTCATGTCTACGCTTAGTAGACATGAAATGCCCCAAAATGTACTACAGGGGGATCCGATCAGCCGTCAACTTCTCCCACCTAAATTTTGTATGACCGTTCAGTGAAATCACATCTAGGCCTGTTAGATATGAATCGTCTAAAAATGTATTACAGGGGGATGCGACTAGCTGTCAAATTCTCTCTATCCATAAAGTTATATGTTATTTAAGTCGTTGTGTTGTCTTTAGATTGTAGCCATATAAAGTTGTTTTCAACCTTTCCTTTAAACTCTCTTTCAAAAATCTCTCTACCCCATTTTCTAAAACCTTCTTCTCAAAACAGAGCAAGAGGCTTGAGGGTACGTTGCCCAACCGTAAGCACCGCAAACCCAAATTGGCTTGATTCACTCAGTATTGAGAGTGAGAATCGCACAATCGCAAAAGTCCACTGCTAAGAAAAGTGCGATTGTAACACCTAGCACCTAAGGGTGTTGGGAATTAGCTAGTGAGCCTAAGAGACAAGGGAATGGTTGGACCGAGAACCCGATTTGGTCTAAGAACCTATAAATAACTTGTTATGAATAAAACTTAAAATATTGTGAGAATCCAACATTCCTTCGGGACACAATCTCACATTTGTTGGGGAACAAAACACCCTTTATAAGAGTGGAAACTTTTCACTAGCAAACTCGTAACGGGGAAACCCATAAGGGAAAGCCCAAAAACCTTAAAGGGAAGTCCGGAAGGGAAAGCCCAAAGAGGACAGTATCTAGATGAGCATCGGTTTCATTATGTAACTAAAGACGCGTTTTAAATCCCTAAGAGAAAGTTCAAAGAGAACAATATCTACTAGCGGTGGTCTTTTTAACCATCGAACAAATCAAGATCTCGAGCTCAGAAAGTTACTAAACACAAAACTAAAGTTTAAGGCTCGAAATCTAACCTAAATTTATAAACAACAAGGAATCAAAGCAAAGATTAGAACAAAAACAAGTAGTCTTCTCTTCACTTCAAAGATAAAAGCAAAAAGATGTTGTAGGTGAGCTTCATTTGTCAAGAGCTCCAAAAATATTTCAAAACAAAAATCATTTCAACCCCACATTCTCTCTATATCTTTCCCTCTTCCCACCACCTTCATTCTCATAGAGAGAGAGAGAGAGAGATTGGGAGAGATTGGGAGAGATTGGGAGAGATTGGGAGAGATATGGGGAAGAACAAAGTGTTGATAATTGGAGGAACAGGGTACTTGGGGAAGAGATTGGTGAGGGCAAGTTTGAGGTTAGGGTATCAAACCTATGTGTTACAAAGGCAAGAAATGGGCGTTGATATAGAGAAAGTGGAGCTTCTTTTGTCATTCAAGAGAGAAGGAGCCCATTTGGTTTGTGCTTCTTTTAATGACCATAACAGCCTTGTTGAGGCTGTCAAGCTTGTGGATGTTGTCATTTCTGCTATCTCTGGTGTTCATATCAGATCTCATCATATTCTTCTTCAACTCAAGCTTGTTCATGCCATCAAGGAGGCTCCAAATGTTAAGGTAACAACGTTCTTCGCCGTTCGTATTGTTCTAAGCTTTTCGTTTTAATGGTGATTTGTTTCGAATAGAGATGAAATTATGAGATATGAAAATAATGAACGTGCTCCTTGAACGTAGTTAATAGGTTGGTCTCAAATTTACCGATTGGGGATGGATTTAACGTCCGATTATCAGCAAAATTGACATGTTGGTCTATTTCCATCGGTTTTAGATAAAACCTGTTAATATTCTTAGAAACCTTAAACTATCACAAGAGTTTTCAAAACACCTTTTCACTTTTAAAAATGTTTAAAAAATGTCTTTAAATTTTCAAAAATTTCTTTGAATTTTTCTTTAAAAAAAATGTCAAAAATACTTTTCAAACTTTTTTAAAAAAATAAAAAAATAGTGGTTGTCATTAGTACTAGGTTTAAAAAATACTTATAAACTTTCCTGAGTAACACCAAAAAGTTTGAAAATAATCTATAAAACTTTTATAGACGATTATTGTCTATTGACAATAAGAATTTTTTTGAATTTTTTTTATAGAGGTAAAGGTAAAAGAAATGTTAATGCTATTTTCTAAATCTTTTGAATATTTTTTTTTAACATGGTATTTTTTTTTAAATGGGAGGGTATTAATAAATTATTTTTAAGGTTAAAAGAATAATTTTGAAACAAATAATAAAAGTATTTTTTAGATTTGTTTTTTTTTTTTAATTTTAAAGATATTATTAAAAAAATTATTGGTATTTTTATTATACAATCTATAAAATTTGTGGGTTTTTTTTAAAATTAATTTAGCTCATCAATTAAATATTTAATTTAACTATTATTATAGTAAATTTTGTATTTAAATAAGTATTTTTTTTTTCTCCAAAAGATGAGGGAATTACATTTTATATATTAAACATAATAAAAAATTCATTATTTGTAATAATTATGTTTCCTGACTTTTGGGAAGTCCGTCCACTGCACCTAGAACAGGTATTATTTATTTATTTATATTTTTAAATCTAAATTTTGCAATATTTTTTTTTGTTAGATATTGAAAATAAAAATAATATACGAAGAATAATAATAATAATAATTGAATTAAAAACTAAAGTCTTAACCTATTCACCAAACTTTTAGATTTAACATAATTAATGTAAATGAAATAATCATTTTTATGTGATTCGATATTTTTTTGTTTGAATTTTAACTATAATACACGAGTTTAACGACTAAAATAAAATTTAAAATTATTTTTATAGAGGTTTTTACCGTCGGAGTTTGGGACCGACCCGGCGAGAATGAAGAACGCGATGGAGCCGGGAAGGGTGACGTTTGATGATAAAATGGTGGTGAGGAAAGCAATAGAAGAAGCTAAAATCCCTTTCACTTACATCTCTGCAAACTGTTTTGCTGGTTACTTTCTTGGTGGTTTATGTCAACCTGGCTTCATCCTTCCTTCCAAACATCATGTTTCTCTCCTTGGAGATGGCAATCAAAAAGGTTCTATACTTACCGCTTTACCTATACGTGCATATATATACTCTAAACATTAAATGAGATTAGTCTAATTTAAGTGATAGAAAACGCTATTTCAAAATATTTAGTGGAAGACACGTGTCAAGGTATTGATTGACATGTGGGATTCATGCGAGTCTCATGGCAGCTGGGTCAATATTACATTAAATGTTTTTAGGAAGTATTTTCAAAATAGTAAATAAGAAAGGAAATGTGTCAAACGTTCTAGATCTCCGTCCTTAATTTATTAGGTGAGATGTATGTAGAATCTCATATTCGAGACTAATTGAAACCTACCTCAAAGTTGGAAAGTCTAAATATAAATTTAGATTAGATAATTCTCTCTATTGTCTATATAGGTCTAATATACCTCGATGCTACTTGGGTCGGGGTGCAAAACAAGGACATAGACATTTATCAAGATTTTCTCTACCATCTATATAGGTCTAATATGCCTTGATCCCACTCGGGTCAGGGTGCAAGACAAGGACCTAGCATTATTAAGATTCTCTCTACCTTCTATATAGGTCTAATATGTCTCGACCCTGCTCGGGTCGAGGTGCAAAACAAGGACCTAGGCATTATTAAGATTCTCTCTACCTTCTATATAGGTCTAATATGCCTCGACCCCACTTGAGTTGGGGTACAAGACAAGGACCTAGACATTTATTAAGATTCTCTCTACTGTCTATATAGGTCTATATGCCTTGATTCCATTCAGGTCAACGTGTAAGATAAGGACCTAGACATTTATTAAGATTCTCTCTACTGTCTATATCGGTCTAATATGTCTCGATCCCACTTAGGTTAGGGTGCAACGATCTAGACATTTATTAAGATTTTGCCATTGTTGACTCAATGGACTCAATCCTTTTGCAATTCCTACCTAACTTGTCTTATATGAACATGGGAAATGGTGACAGCAATATACGTGGATGAAGATGACATTGCAATGTACACCATGAAGACGATTGACGACCCTCGAACCCTAAACAAAACGGTGTACATAAGGCCACCCAAGAACATATTATCACAAAGAGAAGTCGTTGAGATTTGGGAGAAATTGATAGGAAAAGAGCTCACAAAGAGCTCCATTTCTGATCAAGAGTTTCTAGCTAACATGAAAGGTCAAGGCTATGCAGAGCAAGTGGGGCTAACTCACTATTATCATGTATGCTTTGAGGGCTGTCTTGCCAACTTTGAAATAGGGGATGGTGCTGAAGAAGCTTGCAGTCTCTATCCAGAAGTTAGCTATACAAGTGTGGAGGAATACATGAAACGCTACGTTTAAGACCCAACATGCAAACACTAAAAATAAGCCGTTTGTGTTCCAAATCAAACTCGTATTTATCTAATTTATGTACTTTTAAAAACTTCATTTGAATTCATATAACATGAACAGAACTGAGGCATTCATGCCAATGAAGCTTCAATTCAATTATTCTTAGGTCATTATAAACTTTGGGTGTGGATGATATCTACAATAATATAATATAGGTGCGGATGATATCTACAATAATATAAGATTACATTTGTCTACGGACTAATTACAATCATAAAATATGAAAGTTACCCCTTTTGAAATGTCTCATAAATGGTCAAAATTTTTATTTTAAACTATATAAAATCTAACGTAAACTTGAAAAATGTAGTGAAAAAACACGTCTTATTTTAACCAAGAGATAAGTTTTCCTTGCCATTCTATGTAATTTAAATTGCAAATTTAAAATCATTCAAACTTGACATATGATTTCAATCTCAAGCAAGTATCCTTACCTTGAGATATTTAATCAACAAAGTAATCTGAATCTTACTTCCCTCGTAGTGATTCCATATCAAAAGCTACATTTCAAGAAATTCAGTAAATTGAAAATGAATAGACCAAAATGGTCAAGGGGGACGTTTTGATGAACTAAAATGAACGTTTTAAAAGTGAAGTATAGACCAAAATAGTCGAGTATGTCGATTTTTCAAACATTTTCAGTTTGGAAAGGGCTAAGAAGTAAATGTGATGATGCTCATATCAATGTGTGCAAATGTTGGACGGTGGCAATAGGAACAAGAGAAATTATGCTCAAAGCTTTGAATATATAAATACATAAATAAAATTTTACCACTCCAAACAGTTACCCATATTGAAACTTTGGCCACCTGAAATGCAACAATCTCCTGTGAGAAAAAGGAGAGAGACATTAAACTTCATTCCCTTAGAATCAAGAAGCTGGTTTCTTTAATCAGCTTGATCCATGGGAACAGCAGGAGAATCCACAACCTTAAAACATTCAAATACAAAAACATGTACACAGAACAAAACAGAGACCACAGCCAAACATGCAGAAAGCAATTGATTATTTAATTAGTTGTCCCTTGAAATAGGATCTTTGTTCAGTATGGAACAATGATGGATTCAATCAGCTCCTGAAGTGGAGCCAGCTCCCTTTTGTCGATCAAACCAAACTCCTGGACAAATCACACCGTATGTGTTAAAACCAATGATCTTAATTGCAATAGGAGAATTTAGAAAGAGATGTATATAAATTCTTCTATTGGCAGAGCTTCTTAATCACTGAGTCAATATGTTCAAGAACCGATCATATTCATAAAATTCCTGCCTAGACTCTATAATTCCAAAACACAATTATGTAATAGATTGATAGAGATGTATCAACTTCATTCGGTGCAATAGAAAATTTAACTACCCAAGCCCACCGCTAGTAGATATTGTCCTCTTTGAACTTTTCCTCAAAGGTTTTTAATATGCGTCTGCTAGGGAGAGTTTTTCACACCCTTACAAAGAATGCTTTGTTCTTCTCCTCAACCGATGTGGGATCTCACAATCCACCCCCTTCGAGGTCTAGCATCCTCACTGGCACTCGTTCTCTTCTCCAATCAATGTGGGACCCCCAATCCACCCCCCTTCGGGACTCGACCTCTTCGTTGGCACATCACCCGGTGTCTAGCTTTGATACCATTTGTAACGGCCCACCCTTCCTCCCTCACAAGAGGAAAACCTGTAGTTGCCGATCTACTTGGTATTCCTTTTGGGCTTCCACTCAAGGTTTTTAAAACGCATATGCTTAAGGAAAGATTTCCACACCCTTATAAAGAATGTTTCATTCTCCCCTCCAATCGAAATGGGATCTCACAGAAAACAACCAACCCACAAAACTACAAATAACCGTATAAACTACATATGTCCAAAGACAACCGAAATAATAAAGAAAAAAAATCTTGTTTAAAACATATGTCCAAAGACAACCGAAACAATAAAGAAAAAAAACCTTGTTTAAATTCAAGGAAACAAACTGCCAGTAAAATGTTGGAAGAGAGCTAATACAGTAGTGTCTTCTTGATTTGTAAACTGATATTATACCGTGAAAGAGATTGAGAGAATGTTTTATAAAAAATGAAACGACTAGTAGCAATAATAAATGATAAAAATAAGCTGATTTGAACGAGTGACTTACATGTGTAAAAAGTATGAAATGCTTGAAGCACGTATTTAAATGTGCCTCCTCCTTGAGACTCACAATTTTCTGAAAGTGAGAGTGATAAATGTGGGCATATACACGGAATAACCTTTTGAATATCGTCTTCACAACCTCCTTGAAGTTGGCAGGAAATGGTGTACCTAAAAGAGGACATTGAACAATAAATAAGAACAAGACTGGAAACGGGAAGTTTTTTAGTAAACAAGACCGTTGATTACCAAGCTTCTGAGGGAATATTGATTCTTCATCAAGCTGAGATTCAATCCAATCCATTAAATATTCCACATATTTTGGAGCAGAGACCTCAATAGGCTTTTTGATTTGTACACCATCAGCCCACCTATACTCATACCTGTAAAATTTTAATTCAAGTTATTTCAGAAGAGGGAAAGACGCAAAAAGAAAACAGAAAAACTTCAAATACAAACTAACTTAATGCTTATAAGGAAATTGGATAACTAAGCCCCACATTCATACATCAAAATAGGCATAATTTCTTGATATGGACAAGGTTTTGAATGATCTAGGTAAAAACTGAAACCATATTTAGCTGTTCAAATAAAACATGTCAAACAAAGGGAATGTCATTCAAATGCAAGGATATCATATTACAATGTGCAGATACAAACCCTACCTCATACTCAAAAGTTTAACATCTAAATTTATTGCAACTACTAGTAGTAGAATCAGCAAACGAGAGAATGAGCCTCAAAATATGCAATTTTTCTTTTTATAAATCAACAATCATATAACAGCAAACAATATTCCAAATTGAGATAATCCTACATTTAGAAAGCATGATAAGTTACTCTAGATAACTGCAGTCACACAAACAAGTAAAAAAAAAAAAAAGAGTTAGAAACAATAAATAGTTTGCCTCGTACAGAGGAAATTCTAAAATCGAAGCTAAACTAATTTGTGTTAAACATCAGATAAAATTTGACTATTTCTCCAGTTTCCCTTACTTTGGTCCTGCAGTCATTGTAGGACAATTCTCTGGACTACAGAACTCTGTGAGGGTACCATATAGCAAATTCACCTGGTTAAAGAAATCCACAGCTGAAATAAAATATAAACAGCATGTTAGATATTGATTTCACATAAGAGATCCTGGCTGAATAGAAATGGTAAATAAATCTTTTAACATGTTCTGTGTAATCTAGATAAAGAATGTAACATTATTCATTAAGCACATGGAGAGAAGAAAGCGTTTATGAGAGAAATAATAAGCAGAAGGGATGATGATACATGAGAACTGTAGAAAAAATTACCAAAATTTGAAAACCATTGAACAATTCATAGAAAAAGATTTATTCCCGAAGGGAAAAAAGAGTTGGAGAAAAAAAAAAAATAAAGGCAGAATCTACAACTTACTGTTTACAGCCAGCCATTCATTCAAATCCTCCCCAGTTGGGAGTCTCACTGCTTCCCTCAAATTTCCACTACCAAGTGTGGCATCAATATGCTTTTTGAGTTGAGCACCCTGCAATTAGATAAAAACATCAGTGAAACACTCATCAAGAGAAGCTATCATAAAAGAGGACTTTCACATAAGTCAAAAAGGAAACACTTTTTAGTGACCCACATTTAGAACAAGAAGATATATCATAGCTCAACCTAGAACCTTGATAAACGGCAGACTAATCAAAATTAGATAAAATAAAACACAACCTATCGTCCGGATTTTTCTGTCAAATAAGCCTTGAGAACTGTGTAGGATAATAAAATAACTAACTTGCGACTTTTTTTTGTTTTGTTTTTTTTTTTTTTTTTTTTTTGATAGGAAACAACTACATTGATTAAATGAAATGATATACGATGAGAACCCATCAAAAGAGATAACAAAATATTTCTCCAATTGGATAAATGATTATTTAAGCCGTAATACTTAAAAAGATTCATATTTTTACACCAACTGAAAGCGTTAAAAACTAAAATCTCAAAGACTTTAATCGAGAATCTTTCTTTGCCATGAAAGTTTCTTGAGTTTCTTACGTGCCAAAGCTTAAAACTAATTGCCCACACTATGTTAAACAAAATCCTTTGTTGATGTGAAAGAAAATTTTGTCAACAGCAACCTTAACCAACCAACTGCAGGACTTCGATGGAGGACCAACACACCATCCAAAAGAACCGAAAAGCTCAGACCAAATTTTTTATGTACGGGAGCGGTGGAAAATAAGTGGCTCTGTATTTCACTAGCTTTCTTACAAAGATAGCACCAGTTTGGATATAGATTAAATCAGGGACATCTTTTTTGCAATCTATCGTTTCTGTAGAGGATGAGTGGCTAATAATCTAGCAAAGAAGGAACTTGATCCTTCCTAGGGAGGGGAACTTCCAAATCTTTTGATAAAGCTCCTTAGATAGTAAACAATTTCAAGACACAAGGTTTGTGACTATCAATTTTGTGGAAAAGGTTCTTAGCTGTCGAGAGCCCACGCCCATTGGTCTTGTCAATCTATAAGATGAACAGATGGGATAAGCTGGATTAAAGAGGCCCATTCCACGATTTCTACTTCGTTGAAAATCCCTCTAAAATTCAAAGTCAAGGAGCTGGAAAATACAACATTAAAATTATTTGAACCTGGTAATTGAGATTTATTAACTCAGTTTATTTACAAGAAACAGTAGTAAGCCAGTTGACTAAGGTGGTTAACCGGGAGCCCAAACTCCTGAAAAAAACTTGAGTGCAAAAAGGCCATCCAGGTTTGCATGACAAAGAACCACATTTCTTGCGTTGGGACCATGGTAACCTAAAATTGGGCATAACCACCCATTGATACATAAAAATTGTATCCTAGTCCACAGTTCAGACAGCTTTATAGAAGTCCAAATGAAAACATATAATATCCTTTCCAACCAAATTTTCTGAAATAAAAATTATTATTACAGTTGAGGTCTCAACCTTTTAAATTATGTAGCCTATTACACATGAATGATATATCTTCAGAAAACCT